AGTATAGCTTTGGTACATTACAGCATTCAGTTGGGATGTTTCAGCTTTAGAAAGTTCACAAGAAAGTTACAAATCTACAAAACCACACATTAAACACTGTCTCTCTTTTTAAATTCTACTGATATTTATGTTACCTGGTTGCAAACAGAGGTTAACTGCGGATAGTAGGAAAGGAACCAGAACTGAGCTAAGGAGGTAAATCACAGCAATTACAAAAGTTGTATTCATGCAGTAATCTGAGGAATACATACAATCTTGCCATTATTTCATTGAGAGAAATTCAATACTTCACTTTCTAGTGGCTGAAATTTTGCAACCAAGAATGCCACAACATAGAAGCTTCCTCCTCTAGACATCCTGACGTTCATATACAAAAATTATTAGTCTACTAGAATTAAATTTTAGTCCCCTGGTTAAGTATAACAGCAGCCAAAGAGGAGCATTTATCATCTGCATCAAGCTGATGACCAGGACACTCAGCTGTTCCAATCTTCCACAGGTGCGAAAAGAACAAGTACACAGGAAAAAAAGATACAGGAAATAAATTGTCCTAATTAAGATCTCAACAACATGCTTGGATACTTGTATATCCATTTGAAGCTCTGCAGTATCATATCTGATGATATAGCTTATAAGAAGTGCCAAAGAGGAACATTTAACTCCATTTTCCTTTAAAATGAAATGAATGGGGTGCATTTTCTTTTTCAAGTGAAGCTGATTTTTAAATACTCCAGCACAAAAAGATTAGTTACATTCTAGAAAAAACAACACATGACAAAATGTCAGTCAGAACTATGCCTGCTTTTAAGCAAAACTAGTTATTTGTTAATTTTTTTTTTTTTCAAACATAAAATACAGTAATATTGGCATCTGCTATAATTTCCTTATATACCCAGAGATAGCAAGGAACACAGTCTGTGGATACTTCTTGATTATACAACATACCAAAGGACCCTAGCCACATTCAACAACTACATATGAATAAAGAAAGCATAGCAGCTGGTCAGACAGTTTATTTTTCTTTGGGTATGAGAACCCACTAACAAGAGAAATAAAAACAGTTACATAAATAGTATAGAAAAAAAGTATTTTTAATGTCAAAGATAGTAAAAGAGATATACTGTCTTGCCCACATATACATTAATATATAGGTAGATCTGTTGAGACAGATCTTACTGGTAAGTTCACTGTTCACGATGAGGTCTGTAATAGTTCGTTCCCACACAAACAAACATTTCATAATATGGCTAACTATAAGAAACAGGAAAAAAAAAAAAGCCCGACTTTAGTTTATCTTACTTCTACTTCTGTCTGTAGAGAAGAGTTTGAAAATGTTCTATCTATACCCTGACCTGGGAAGTCATGAAGGAAAAAGTTTCCAAAAGTTTGAGATGTTCAGCAAAGTTTGTTTCTCTTCTCTCAATTTTAAGTATCTCAATTTCACTCTAATAGCTTAAAATCCCAGTGATGAGGAGAGCAGCTCCCAATAGCGACTTAAAATAACTAAAGTAGGATTTCTAGACTCACATGGTGTGCTGTTCATTTCAAAAATGACAAAACAGACAAGGTACAAACGTGACGCAACACTAAATTACATCAGATCTAATCTCTGACAATAACTCTCCATTAGGGGAGGAATAACTACTGTAAGATTCTGGATATACCACTGCATGAAGATATACTTATTGCTTTCTTTGTCTTAGACTTTACTACTAGGACCAATTATTCACCAGCTACCCAGACCACTGAGCTGGAAGACAGACAGGAACAGAATGAAACCCTTAAAATCCAGGAACAAACAGTTAGTTACCTACTACTCCACTTGAATACACACAGACCCATGCATGACTGGGATCCACCCAAGGATACTAATGGAACTGGCAGAAGTGCTCACCAGACTACTTTCCTTATTTAGGCCAAACAGGGAAGTCCCAGTTGACTTGGGCTTAGTGAACATGATGACTTTTTACCATGAAGGAAGATCCAGGGATTATTGGCCTGTCAGACTTATTTCTGTACCAGGGAAAGTCATGGAATGTCATCACACGGCACACACTGGACAACTGGCTGATCAAACTCAGTCAGCACAGATTAATGGAAGACAAGTCCTGCTTGACTAACCTGGTCTACCTCTGTGGTAAGATCACCTGCTTATGTAGACAAAGAAAGAAGGCTGTGCACGTTGTCTACTTGGGCTTTCGCAGATCATTTGCTAGTGTCTCCCACAGCATCCTCCTGGAGAAACCAGCAACTCACTGCTTGGACAGATCTGCTATGTGCTGGGCAAAAGACTTCCTGGATGGCCAGGCCCCAAAGGTTCTTGTGAATGAAGTTAAAAGTGGTTTGCAGATGGTTACAATCAGTGTTCCCTAAGGCTCAGTGTTGCAGCCAGTCTCATTTAACATTTTTATCAACTACCTGGATGAGGAGATTGGGTGCAACCATAGTAAGTTCCCAGATGACATTATGCTGAGTGGGAGTGTTGATGTGCTTGAGGGTAGGAAGGCTGTGCAGAAGGATGTGGACAGGCTGGATCAATGGGCAACAGCCAGTTATATGGCATTCAACAAGCCTAAGTGCTGGGCTCACTGCTTGGGTCATAACAACCCCATGCACCTGTATGGGCTTGAGTAAAAGTAGTTGGCAGGAAAGGACCTAGGGGTGCAGGTCAACAGCCAGCTATACATGAGTCCATAAAGCCAAGAAGGTGAACAGCATCCTGGCCTGCATGAGAAATAGCATTGGCAGCAGAATTTGGAAAGAGACTGTCCCTCTATACTCAAGCACTGGTGATGCTGCACATGAAGTACCATCTTCAATTTTGGGTCCCTTGCTGCAAGAAGGATGCTGAGTTGCTCCAGGACATGCAGAAGGAAAAAAAAAAAAAAAAAAAAAATCCATTAAAGGACTGGAAATTTATGTGGAGTGACTGAGAGAAGTGAAGTTGCCTGGCCTGGAAAAAAAGGAGAGACATCATCATTCTCTACAGCTACCTGAAAGAAGGTAGCAGCAAAAAAAGACAGCCTCTATATTCAGCTGGCAAAACATAAGGAAATGGCTTCAAGTTACAGAAGGGAAGGTTTAGACTGGATATCAGGAAGAATTTGTTCTCAGGAGTGGTTAGGCATTGGAACAAACTGCTCAGGGATGTGGAGTCACCATCTCCAAAGGTATTCAATAAACCTGCAGGTGTTTCATCTATCGACACAGTTCAGTGATAGGCAGGTAGAGAGGTGAATGGTTGAACTCTGTGATCTCTAAGAGACTGTTCTACAGTTTTATTCCACATCTAAGTCTCATTATAAAAAAAAAAAGAATCAACACTAGAAAGTAAGCAAATATGGATTTAATCTCAGTAGTGCCTCACTAACCTTAAAGCATATAGCTACTGGCTGAAGTGGGATTATCTGCTTCAGTATGGTAATTTGCAAGCCTAAGGGACTGCATTTGCCAGATGAGGATTTTCTAGTTTACTGTAATACCTCTCCTTTTATATACTCCAAACACAAAGGATGCTCCAAGAGTAATGCCTCCTATTTTATGATATTGACTTATGATATTAGAAACAAATGCTGGTGGTAAGGCAGTTTTCTATTACATACTATTGCTGTGCAACAGACAGCAGCAGAAGGGCAGTCTGATAAAATGGTGCCTGTCACTGAAGTGCATATAAAGCAAAGGTGGGTTACTGAATTTCTCCTTCTGGAAAAAAAACACACTTGGTAACATTCATCAATGCTTGCTGAATGCTTCTGGAGACCAAAGAGTGGATGTCAGTATAGCCATATGCTAGACTGCGTAGCTGTCACACCATGAAGTGCACCTCAAATTGGTGGATTACAACCAGGAAACTACATATGGAGATGAATACTGACATCAACATGTTGGAAACAGTTGTGGCAATACTGGAATATCACAAAGTTTGCATTAGGTGAGCACCATGAGTGCTCATATGGGACCACAAAGAACATCATATGCAAGTTTATCAGGACAGTGGTGACAGTTTCCTGGATCACATCACTAATGGTGATGAGACATCATACCACCACAATAAGGTGCAGTCAAAATGGCAGTCCACAGAATGGCAGTGCTTGAATTTCTCATCAAAGATTAAGACCTAGAAGGTAAAGTGATGTTTATTGTCTTTTGGGATAGGAAAGGGACAATCCTTCTCAATTTTATGCGACCCAGATAAACAATGAACTCTGCTACAACATGACACTGACTAAGCTGAACTTCCAAAGGCAGGACAAAGACGAAGACAATCTTTTTCTTGTCACACTGTAAAACCAGGCCCCATTCCAGACTAAAGACCATGAAGCATGCTGCCAACCTTGGCTGGACTGTCGTACCACAGTCCAGATTTCACACATTCTGACTTCCAACAATTGGGTCAATAAAAAATGGCAGTGCATGGGCAACATTTTCCTAACAACAATGCCATCACAGTAGCTAAGTGGGTTAACTCCACTGGGGAACTTTTTTTTTTTAAAAAAAAAAACAAAAAAACAAGCACAGCATGCAGGCTCTTGTTCATGACTGGCAAAATGAATAGTTAATAATGGCAACTACGCTGAAAAATACTTTTTTGTAGCTGAGAATGTACTGTATCAAATAATGCCATTGTGTTCTTCTGTACTGTTATAGTTTCCATGAAAATAATCTGGAGACATCATTTTTGAAGCAAAATATGTATATTATGCTCTTCCCTATATATATACATCCTGTGTTACCAAAACTAGTTTAAATCTGCCTTATGAAAAGATCCTCTTTTTCTGTTGTAAACATGCTAAAAATTGAAGGTTGGAAAGAGAAAAGTATCTTCATTCATTTGCGTAACACAAAGACTACAACCAGAAAAACAGATCAGCATCAAATTCATTGAAATTCGCATAAAAAAAATATTATCAGCAATAAGACCAATATCACTACCAGTGAAATAAAAGTGTAGGAAAACACGTATTAGGAACAATTTTCCTTCTATATTAAAGATGGTTTACCTTTGCAACTCCAGCCCTATGAGCACCTTGCGATTCCATGTATGCTAAGTATTTGTTGAACTCTCTGAATTCATCCATTGAAGGCCTAAAAGTCATGATTTTGCAACTTGGATTTGGAGGACTATCAGATGTGACCGTCGCCATTGTGGTTCGTTTTCAATCCAGCTGAAAAATAAAATAACATATACTGAAGAGAATAACCTTCTGTCAAACAGCATCTGAAATTCAACACATGTTTTGATCAGGAAAAAAGTTTTCAAAATTCCACAGTATTATAAAAGGCACAAACGAAATACTTACTTTCTCTCCCCACTCCTTTAAGACCACTCAACCCTTACCCCAAAGACATGTCTACCATAAGCAACAGTTCTATAAAATCCAGTACAAAAATCCATACAATCCTCTCACTGTGTTTTTCTGTTGTTGGTTTTTTTTGCTTTTTTGTTTTGTTTTGGTTTTTTTTGTTTTGTTTTTTTTTTTTTACAACACACTTTCTCAACTGTACCTTTAACACCATACTAGCAACTTTCAGTGTTGATGCATTCACAGCTTGCTCCATTTCTGAGTAGATATTTACATTACACAGGTATAACCTAAACTAACAAAGCTATGCATATTACTATTCCCACTTAGTTCATGAGGAAACTGATTACTGACTTTCTAATCACACTGCAAATGCAGGTAAAGAGTGCCTGGATTTTCTAACTCATATGTCAGCACTTCAATAGAATTCTATCAGTCTGCATTGCCAAGATGCAATAATATGACCATTTACAAATTTATTCCTTAATCTTACAAAAAAAAAAAAAAATCCTCATTTCAGAACAAAAGTAAATCAGCTCTGACTATCTTTGCTGTGATTTGCTGTGTCATCCCTCACTTGAGGAAAGGGAAGATTTGGCATTGAGGGACAAGGTTTGAGGGATACGGTGGTGATGTGCTTGACTAGATGATCTTAGTGGTCTTTTCCAACCCTTAACAATTTTATGACTTTGTCCATCTGCAAAACACAATACATCCATGGTTTTGTTACCAAACCATGTCACCTTACACTGCTTGTATGTTAGCATATTAGCCAGCAATTTCATTAGCTTCATATCTCTCTTAGCTTGGCTATGAATCACTTACAGGAAAACTGCGATTCCCTTTATGTCTCTGCATGTTTCACTCTCCTATAGCATTCAAAGATTCAGCCTGCTTCTTGTGCCCTTAAATTATGTTTTTGCATTCCTACTTCTCACAGAAAATCACTCTCGATTTTTAACAATTAGATTTCTTTTTTCCCCACACTCCTCTCTTTTCTACCCTCCTTCCTACATCATTTCCATCCCTGATTGAAACAAAATTAATTAGATTTCTGCAAGTCTCCAACAATCAAAAAATCAGTACCATTTTAATTCAGGATTATTTTTGTATTTAAATTATGATTATGAGGTCCATATAGGCAAGCACATCCCAACATATAAAACTGAGATACCTTCGTGGTGGTAAACGCATGCCATGCATCCTTCATTTAGTCCCATCCATTAAAGAAGCACATATAAATCTGTTATGATGACCAGTTCCAAGTCAATGAGATTAGGTTATATCTGAAGTTAAAGCTTTCCTTGCTTATATGCATTGTGCCATGCAGAAAGCTTATTATTCATATTGCTAAACTGACACTAAAATGACACTGGAAAGATAATGAAGCAGGGTAATTGATCTCTCTTTAATCAGTTCTTAGCCCTTCAATTTCATACATGCATATGAGTGCAGCATATACAAACACATCACCTCTAAAAAAAAAAAAAACCATTTACTGGCAAAAAAAAATTAATAGTCTGTCATTATTTCACGCCTTTAAACTACTTCACTAACTCTTATACAATACAACCTGCAATCATCAGCTACTTTTTCCAGAGGAACCTAAGCAGGCTTGAGCAGTAGGCCCAAGACAATCTCATGAAGTTCAACAAACCCAAATGCAAGGTACTGCACCTGTGTGGAGGCAAACCCCACTACCAATACAAGCTGAGGGATGAAAGGATTGAGCACAGCCCTGCTAAAAGACTTGTGGGTACAGTGGATGGGCACCTGGACATGTGCCAGCAATGTGGCCTCACAGCTCAGAAAGCCAACTGTAATCTGGGTTGCATTAAAACAAGTGCGGCCAGCAGGACAAGAGAGGCGATCCTGCCCCTCTATGCCCGTGAGACTTCATCTGGAGTACTGCATCCAAATGTGGAGTTCTCAGAACAGAGAGACGTGGACCTGTAGGAGTGTGTCCAGAGGAGAGCAACAAAGATGATCTACAGAACAGACCTACAGAGGATGATCTACCTCTCCTACAAGGACAGGCTGACAGAGCTGGGGCTGTTCAGTCTGGCCACTGTCTTTCAGTTTCTAAAGGGAAGCCACAGGAAAGAAAGGGACAGACTCTTTCATAGGATCTGTGGCAACAAAACAAGAAAAAATGGCTTCAAGCTTAAAGAGGGTAGATTTAGGTTGGACATAAGGAAAAAGTCTTCTACAGTGAAAGCAGTGAGGCCCTGGAACAGGATGCCTAGAGATGTGATTGATGCCCAGTTCCTGGAGGCTCTCTAAAGAAACACTGGATCAGGCCCTGGGCAATCTGATCTAGCTGCACATATCCTTGTTCACTGCAGGGGAGTTGGACTAAATGACTTTTAAAGGTCCCTTCCAACTCAAAGGACTCTATGATTTTAGCTTAGAACAGAGATTAATATACTTTTCTCAGCTCTTCACTGTACTGTAATACTGTTATTTCAGTTTTGAGGAGCTTCTTGGGAAGACAGAGAAAGAACAGTTGATTCATTCTTTAGTTCTGTTTCCAGTAGGAGGGAATTGCTTTTAAAACTGAGTAACTTCAGCAGCCACTTATGAATTTCTGTTTTGTAATTACTAATATTCTTTACTTCAGCAGAAAGAACAGAACTTTTTAGAAGTTTATGTTATTCACTCAACTGCACTGTACCAAGTCAAGCATTTCTGAACCTAAGGACTCCTACACCTAGTCAAGCATTAACTACAAAGTCTTTTGCAAAAAGCAGTTGCTGGTATTGTTAACCAATAAATGATCTGACTCTCTACTTCAACAGCTCTTACACTCATTTCCATGAGGTTTTTGCAGAGAATAGTAAGGTAGGAAAAACACCAGATAAACCATGGTACTTTACTGCCCTTCACAGGGACACAGACAGATGCATATTGACAGAAACCATGCTCATCAAGCTTAATAATGGAACATGCAGAGTTCCACATTCACTGAGGGTCCCTGGTTGAAGTGGCAGAAGAGACTTTTTGAAGTCCTGCTGGACACCAAGTCAACATGAATGGTAGAATCAGTAAAGTTGTAAAAGAGCTTAGCCATCAATCCATTATTGCTACACCACTAAACCATGTCACCTAATGAGATATCTACCTTTTCTTGAATACCTCCAGGAACAATGACTTCACACCTTCCCAGGCAGCCTGTTCCAATGCATTACTGATCTTTCCAAGCAGAAATGTTTCCTAATAACCAATCTGAACTTCCCTTAGTGCAACTTAAGGCCACTACTTCTATTTAGTCCTACCACTGTTACCAGGGAAAACCAGATGGACTCCCATCTCACCACAATCTCCTTTCAGACAGTTGTAATGAGAGAATAACATCTCCCCTGAGCCTCCTCCAAACTAAACAATCCCACTTCCCTCAGCTGTTACTCATAAGGCTTGTGCTCCAGACCCTTCACCAGCTTCACTGCCCTCCTTTTGGACATGCTCCTCCAGAGCCTTGATGTCTTCCTTGCAGTGAGGGGCCAAAAACTGAACACAGTACTCCAGACACAGCCTCATCAGCATCAAGTACAGAGGGACAATCATCTCCCTGGTCCTGCTGACTAAACTATTTCCAACACAAGCCAGGAAATCACTGACTTTCTTGGCTATCTAGGCACAATGCTGGTTTATGTTCAGATGGCTGCCAACTAACACCTCAGGATCCTCTTCCTTCACACAGTTTTCCAGCCACTCTGCACAAGCCTGCAGTAATACATGGGAGTTTTGGCAATTGAAGTGCAAGACTCAGTATGTGGCCTTTTTACCAGCAAGAACCAGCAGTGTGCCCCTGTTAATAGGGAAGGTGAATGATATCCTGGGCTGTGTTAGACCTAAGTACTGCAGGCACACTGAAAGTAGTACTTCCCTTCTACTCAGCATTGGTGAAGTCACACCTAAGTACTGTGCCCATAGCTGGACCACCAGTAGACATAAACATATGGGAAAGAGTCTTGCCAAGGGCCACCAAGATGAAGAGACAGAAGCAGCTCTCCTGTGGGGGAAGGCTTAGAGAGCTGGAACTGTTCCACTTGGAAAAGGAAAGGTTCAGGGAGTGCAAGGGGTCTTTATGAGCATATTCACTCAACAGGAAGGAGTGATGAAAACTGACATTTTTCAGCAGTGTACAGTGACTGGACTAACAGCAACAGCACAAATTAAAAAACAGGAAACTCCATGTGAACAAAAGAAAACACTTTTTCTCCCCCCCGTGAGAGCAAACACTGGAAGAGGTTGTTCAGTGAGATTGTGAAGCCTCCATCTTCGGAGACAGAGGCCAACTGAACAGACTGACGATCAACATCCTCCAGCCAACCTTCCTCGAGCAGCTGGGTGGACTAGACTTTCTCAAGAGGTCACTTTCAACTTCAGAAGGCATGATTCCATAATCCAATTCCTGTAAAGATGGCAGAGCCAGATTCGCAGCATCCAATGGCAGTGTAAGTGGCAATAGGCGCAAATCAATTATAAAATATTTAAAATGAAGGCCTTCATATTCAGTTATATTCTAACACACCATGTAATTCTTTCAAGGACTTTGTGGAATACAAGTGCCCTAGATACTTTCTCTCACACACAGAATTCAGCTACATCCTGTCAAATTGTTAAAATAAAATAATAAAATAGCATGACATAAAATTCAGAATAAAAAAGGCCTTCAGAGCTGTTATTGGTGGTGGTTTTTTGTTCCTTTTGGGGTTGTTGTTTGTGGTTGGTTTTTTTTTGCAAGCAAGTACATGTCTAAAGAATCATTATAACATGAAGTCCATACTGCAGTTCTATTATTACAACCTTAACTATTCCACTTAAAGAATATGCAGAATTAGCTATTCTGTGATACTACT